AACTTTCAGTTTTATCAAACATCACCTAAGTCTATCATTTAAACTTATTTGTTAATTGGCATTTCTACTTTTAAGTAAAAATGTTGTAGTTTGTCTCTGATCAAAAAAAAAAAACTTATTTGTGAATAAGTCTCATTTTATTCTTTTAGTAAGTAGTTAAATGCAATTTTTTTTAATATCTCCAAGATGACCTTCCTTTGACATTGAAAGCGGTCTTTAACATTAAATCACTTTCATAAACAGTTACCTTCGATTCATGCTTAATGATAATCTATAAGTAAGTTTTTTCATCATAAAATCAAAAATTCAAATTTAAAATTTTTCATATAATTTGAAATTCAAATTCATACTTCCCCCAAACTGAACATCCCCTCCCTCCCCCCCTTCTCTCTTTCAACTCAATTATGGCTACTACAATAATGAGAAAAACCATAAAATCAATAAACCCATTTGTTCTTAGAATCCTAATCCCTCAAAATCGCTACCTCGGCTCCCTTGTCACTGCCGAAGAACTTGAACCCGGCAGCTCATCTTCGTCCTTCTCCGTCTCAGCTGACGGCGGATTTCAAGATAGTCAAAAAAAAGATGATAATATCTACGTTAAAACCCACGTAAAGACATTGGATCAATCACAGTCAAAAGGTTCTACAAGCAAGTAACAGTGTGTGCTTTCTATGTAATGGTTTTGAGTTTTTTCTGGGAAGTGTTGAATATGTTCTCCTTCAATATAATAAAGGTGCTTGTGGGCTTTTTCCTCATCCCATTATTTTTTTTCCATTTTTCTTTGTTCATGTTCTTGCAGAGTATGACCCAAAAAAAAGACGGTATCATCTTCCCAAATAAAATAGTAACAAGCTCAACGTGTCACTAATATGACATCCCAATTTTGTTCAATATTTCATGTTATTACTTTTTTTTGTGCGTATGTTACCATTAATATTAAATGTTACTATTTTCTCAAAATGTTAATATTGAATGTTATTATTTTTTATTTTATTTTTTTCAAATATTAATATTGAATGTTACTATTTTTTTTTAATTTTTTCAAATGTTACTATTTTTTATATTTTGAATTTTACTATTTTATGTCATATGTGTGTGTGCGCGCGTGTGTGAGAGAGAGGGAGAGAGAGAGAGAGAGATAAAATATTCCTATTTTATATATATACTAATTTATTGTCTGTGCCTGAAAACACAAAGTAATTTAAAATGATAAACAATAAACATATTTGTATTCATATTCAAAATCAAATCATAAACATAGATAAGAGATAAAAGAATTTAAGCATCAGTTATACTGAGAGTGAGAGGTGGTGGGTGGTAGTGGTGGTGGTAGGAGACGGTGATGGTTGTGGTGGGTGGCAATGACCGTGGTGGCGAAGGTGGTGGTAGCGGTGGCGATGGCGATTGGCGATGGCGGTGGTGGCGATAACAATGGTGGCAACGGCAGTGGGGATGGCGAGGGGGTGGTGGTGGTGGTGGTGGTGGTGATAGGGGGCGACGGTGGCGGTGGTGATGGGTGATGGTGGTGGTGGCAGTGGTGGTGGCAACGACGATGGTCGTGGCAGTGGCAGTGGCAGTGGTGGTGGTGGCAACGGCGACGACGCCGACGCCGACACCAGTGGTAGAGGTGGTGGTGGCAGGGGTTGTGGCGGTGGCGACGATGGTGGTGGTAGATGTAGTGGTGAGACGGTTTCAAATACTATTTTTTTTTAAAGTATTTATGAAAAATAATTTTTAAAAATACTTTTAAAAAGTCACTTTAAACACACATTTTAGGGACTTTTTCTTCCTATTAGCCGTTAGATTAACTTTAAAATAAAACTTAAAACGATCTCAACCGCGAATAACAAAAGTCATTTTTGTTTATCTTTTAAAATTTGAATTGTAAGTTACTTTATTATATAGATATGTATATGAATAGATATGAAAGAAAAATAATTTTAATACTAGTAAAACTCCTAAAATTTAGGAGTTGTTAATTTTTAAATTTGTTTTAATTAAATATAAGTATCAGGAGTAGTTTGGATAATGAGGATCAAAATAGACTTATTCTTAAACAAGTTTTTTGAGTGGACTTAAGTCCAAATAAGTCTATAAAAGAAGACCAACCTTCAAATTTCTGTTTTATTACACTCTCTTATACTTAAGTCCTTCTGCACGCCAACTTTTTTTTTTTACTTTAAAAATAGCCATATAACCTTCACGTTGTTTATGAATCAAAATGCATCACTAATTCTGTTTGTAGCATTGTTAAAAATGATCTTAACCACTCTTTCTCTTCTTCTTCACCACCACCTCCATTTATCTCTAGAGAGAGAGAAGGGTGTTATGTGTATGCAGGCATATGTGTTGCTGTAGAAAATTATTTTTGAATGAGTTTTTTATGATGCTTTTGGCATTGGTTCACTAAAAGACCCACACAATTATAAAATTTAGGTCTCGTAGCCGAATGTCAGTAATAGTATATGATGTTGTATTTGTTCAGTTTATATACCTCACCATAATAATTACTTTTCGTAGCACATGACATGATTGCTCCACGTGCTGATACCAATTTAAAAATGAAACAAGTTGAGGATCACAGCATGATTTGAAAAATCTTTTCTAGTTCCAGACTTTTACTGTAAAAGTGAAGAGGGTGCCTTATGTACTATCCATGATTTTTACATTATAAGAGACTTCATTTCTTTGGCATTATTGGACCATTTGTGAACCTTTTTTTTTTAAAGTACTTCTTTAAACCACAAAACATTTGATAATTTTTTGTTCTTTTGCTTGACAGCGAAAACATGTTTAATGACTATCTTAAAAAATAATAAATATACATTTCCTTACACTTGAGCAAGGAAAAAGCAAAAAAACATTATAAATACTTTTTGCTTTTTTGAAATTACCTTTTGCATCTGCTCCATCTCCATAATAGGGTATTCAAGCCATTAATCAGTTTAGAACTCCTCAATCTTTATCTAATTTACGACCACCTGAAGTTTGCCTGGGTATTCGTCTAGTCCTACAGCTTTCAGAGAACCCAATTGTTTGGCTGCTTTATGAATTTCTGCATCTGTGATTGGTCTAAGTAGTCCCAGATTCATGTCTTCAATAATAATTGGTTTTATAACCTCCAACGCTCCCTCCATGTTTCTTGGGCCACTTTTTCTATACAGATTTTGAAACTACTCCATGATATGCAAATTCAGGTCCTCCTTCTCTTCAATCCAACTTCTATCTTCTAATTTGAGTGTTAGAAGCTGGTTCCTTTGTCTCCTATGAACAGTTGTCATATGGATAAAGGATATATTTTGATCCCTTGTTAGCCAGTTAATTATCGATCTCTGCATCCAGAACTTCTCCTTCTCTCCTTCAAATGTCATCAATTTGTGAAATTAGTTCAGCTGCCTGAGTTAGGTTGGGCTCGCTAGGTTGCTCCATCTAAATCTGTTTGAAGTCTGATTGTAGAATTTCCAAAAAATTTTGTTGTTACCAAGTTGGCTCTTTCTCCAGTCTCTAAGAGTTCCCCAGCAGTTTCTCAACTTCTTGGTTACTCTGAACAAGTCTAACCCTCCAACTCCTACATCCCGGCACTATTTAATAACATATTCACATTGGCTATGTTCCATCCACATATTTTCAAACTTGAAATGGTATGGAACCTTCTTTGACACCAACCCAAAATCAATTAGGATAGGGCAATGATCTGAGCCCATTCTTGACTCGTGAAAGACCTAAGTATATAGGAAGCAATTGCTCCATTTTGAATTGATTAGGACCCTGTCCAGACGTTCCTATACATTAGCTGTTTTCGATCTATTGTGTGCCCAACTGAAATTGAGACCCTTGAAATCAAGCTCAATTGTTTCGCAATCAGATATGAGTTTTTCCATTTCTTCAACATTTTGTTGCTCCACTCTCCTTCCCTCCCTCCTTTTCCCACACCAAGTTGATGAGGTTAAACTCACCGGTGGCAATTCAGGGTGCACTATTTGAGTTTGATAAGGTCCTCGATGTTCTCAACAATCTTTGTCTTTCAACATAATCGGGGTCTACATAAAGAAAAAAGGATTGCCATGCCACAGGACTACTATTTAATGAGCCCTGTGTGCTGATGATATTTCTATTTGCAAAGACTATCTCTAGCTTGATTTCTTCCATCCATCACAAGGCAAGGCCTCCCGAGAGTCCCACTAGTCCCCATAAGCGCATTCAATGTATTTAAAATTTCTTTGGAGTCTCTCTAGTTTATCTACTTTATTTTTAGTCTCCATTAGGAAGACTATCTGTGTATGATGGGTATGAATTAATGCCCTCAATGTTTGAACTGTCCAAGGTTGACCTACTCCTTGATAGAATTAACATGGGGCGTGTAACTGTTCAAGGCTAGCCACCACCACTTGTCCAGACGTCTTACATTCACTTTTCTCTAGGTTAGAGCTTGGAACTTGTGAAATCCAATGTGACATACAAATGTCCATATTGTTCTTAGCAAGTTCCGGAGAGGGGTTTTCATCAACCTGGATTGCATCAATCCCCTGTTGTACTTCCACCTCCACCAAATCTCGAAGTAGAAATTGTGCATTTCCCCCTCTTCTCATCCTGCCTCTTTGGGACCTTCCTCTCGCTCCGAGTGCTCTTCGAGGGAGTGACACAATGTTGGGTGAAATTCCTGTCCTGTAATTTCATTGCTAAAAGTGAAATTGAAGACTAAGGAAGTTTCAAGGACATTTTCTCAAGGTTTTAAGTATGTTTGGTCCGCTTCCTGAGCTAGTTCTGGGCTGATGTGTTTGGGTGCTACTTCCACCCCTTTTTTTTTGGCCCATCCGTGTTAAGCCTTTTCTCCTTTTGTGGGCTCTCAGGGGGAGTAACAAAACACATTGCTTCAGCCGAGCCCATGTGTTTCCTTTGAACTGCTAGGGTCTTCACCCCATGTTGCAATTTCTCTTCCACGAAAGATTAAAGGGCAATCACCATACCTGTAAAAAGACTACTTCTGCTATTTGAACCTGTCATATCCAGATCACAATAAAATAACTTTACAGTTATACTAAGACCCACTCTATCTTATTACCCAAGAGGAGCAATATTATATATTGAACACTAGATTGCAATCCCACAAGGATTACAAGAGCACACCGCTTGTTCTCTACCAATGAGATAGGGTGCGACTACATAATTAACATTCTTCGCTAGTTACATTACAATGGACGTTTGTTGTTCGAGAAATGATTACATACATCAAGAAAAATTACAGGGTTGAAGCAATACACATGCAAGACTTACAAGAAGGTCACATGAAGTGTTCATCTATTCTTGAGTTATAGAGTTGGGGGAGGGGGCATTTTCAGTCTCACCGCCAGAAGTCTTCGACTTAATATATGAACGGGCAACCTCCAACATCAACTCCACCTCTTTCTTGTACTGCATTGCACGACAATAAATATTTTAACATGTTTAATCCTATGTTCATCTTTCCTTGTCAAACACAAAAGATGCATTTGAAAAGGAAATCATGAATGATGAACAACATAGAAATCAATTACATAAAAAATACATACCTCGTTGATAGCTCCAGCCTTAATTTTAGATTGCATCACACACCATTTCTTAAAATGTGCACCTGTGGAAATTACAAAATCCCCCAATTAGTTGGAGAAATTTATTTAGAAGATGATAATCCTGCTATCTGATATAGCCATGCAGCCATATAGCAATCTCTGATTTTTTATCCGTATGTCACAAAGAATCAATTCAAGAAAAAAAAAGGTAAGATGTTCATAAATCATCTGGACATAATGTAGCAATAGTTGGTCAGACAAAATAAATTACCAATTAGATCATTGGGCCAGAAAAATCTGAAGACAGCAATTTTCAGCCACACAGAAAAATCTAGAGCAATATCTTCCTATGATCTCGAAACCATATTGTATTCCTTGTCTCCTTGGCTCCATCGTTTTGAATCAAATCACTCCCTACCTGAAAACTAACTAAACTATGTTACCTATGTCGAAACAGCCTTATATGCAATTCCCTCATACTATCTTATCAGGGGCCTGTCAGCTCTATCTAGAGTCACACCCTCTATTGTAACGATGACAACCACATCTTCTTCTGGGCTTTATCCACGGTCTCTGGGTCACCCTGTCTTTTTGGACCCTTTTGACTTGAATCAATCGCATCCATAATCATACACCAACTGAACTATCTTACCCATGGCCAAACAATTGTAGATGTATTTCCTTCGTCTTATCTTTGTAGGTTCCATCAGTAACTTCTCATAGAATTCATAACTAATTACTCCTTTTGGAACTGTCCTCATCCGCTTTATCAAATCCCCATACAAACAAGTCATTTATAGAAACATATTACTGATGGACAAATGGCTGTTTCTCCACCCCTTGTTACTACCAAGGTACTGTGCTACATAACAAATCCTGATCAGTAAATCTAGTAAATCACACTTTCATTTATGAATCCATCCACAATCTCTGTCCTGGGACCCTATCAAAGGTTTTCCAAGTAACGAAAAGCATACACAAATTTTTTTTCTCAAAGTTACGACAAAAATAAAGGAGCATAGTATGTAAGTATGAAAACAAATTGTAGGCAGCATAAAATAGCATGGTGAATGCATTGATCAACAACAAACAATCAATTTGGTTTTAAAAAAAACATTCTCGAATTCCACACACAGAGATAGACAGGGAGGGGGGGCAACGTATGCCAATCCCAGTACATAGGTAAAATACATTATGATAGGAATTTACAACCAAAAGTGTTAAAATGAATATGAACAATGCAAAAAAAAAAAAAGGAAGAAATCGATGTCCAGCAAAAACTTACCAACTTTTATATCTATCCTGCAAGAGGATTCAGAGTTGGTCTCTAAAGACCATCTACAGTGAACCTGAAGCAAAAACAAATAAGTCAGTCCTAACAAAAAAAAGGGAGCAAATGGACATATATCTTGAAGAAAGATATGTTCCAGAAGAAAAACAGCTCTTCCACTTCGCCATCCTCAACCCAGGCATCAAGCCAACTAGTTACAAACGTAGAAAGACATAAACATCAAACCTATTATGCTTATTCTTGTCTTTATGATAAAACCTTGTCTCAAGGTTCACTCTATATTACAGTTAAATAGGTTGCATAATGACTCCATCATCACAAAGAGAGTTATGGACAGCTGGCAGTATATGGTGCCATAAAAGCACTCTCAACCATGCAACACATTAAAAAGTGATAGCCAGTGCCACACAAACAATAAAACAGAGTCACCCAGTTTTGTTAGTTGTAATTAAATGCTTCAACCATTGCACATTTACACATTGAAAAGGCCTTACAAAGCTTTGAGCCCTGATATTTGCTTCATTATTTGAGAAGTGGGGAGTCGAATCCTCATTAATCCAATCATTATTCTTTTGCTTGGGGTTTCTGAAATAATTTCTTTGATGTGACTTGTGTTTGGATAAAGCAAAATGCAAGAATTTTCAATGACTGCTCCCTTTTTTAAAATTCCTCAAGGATAGAATTGATTTTTTTCTTCTGTATGGACCTTATCTACAGGGATTAGAGGAATGCCTTTGTCAGACTTCTAACAGGGTTGGAAGGTAGTTCTCTTCCAGCTGTTCCTTTTTCTTCTTCTTTGTAATTTACTTTGTTCTTTTTCTTATTTTCTCTTCTCTACCTTCAGAAAATTATTTTTTTCATTGCAAATGTACTCTAGAAAGATAGTAAATCATGCAAGGCATATAAATAGGTCAACAGATAATGGTAAATTTCAACTTCTAAAACAAAAAAAGAACTAAATAAGAAAGTAAATGGTCTTGTGTTAGGCCCCACCAGTTCATTCTACTATGAGGGGTATAGTACAATATAATTTGCACATGGTGGATTCCTTTAGAATCAAACCCACATTCTCACTTACCCGTATTTTACATTGGATACACAGCCACAGATCTATCCTACTCCTAAGGAGAAGGGGCAGAGGAACCGCTATACGGCTGGTATAAACCTAACATTTAGCATAATTTGTTCATGGTGGATACTGTTCGAATGAAACCCACATTCTCACTCACAGCTTTTTCATTTGTAATACAGTCATAGATCTACCCTACTCCACAGAAAGGGTAAAGGAACGGCTATATGCTGATGAGACCCAACCCAAAGTTGTGCCTGGAGATGGGCTGCTCCTTAATCACTGGGACAAACCATTTTGCTCAAATTCACCATTCACCAAGCAATAGGTCCTAGTGTGTTCACCAAACAATGGGTCCTAGTGTGTTCTAGGATCTATAAGATGCATGCATGTTCATGCCTAAAATACTGCCATTCTGGGAAATATACATGACCCATCATGAGCTTCTTGAACAGAAATTTTTTTTTTGTTCAAGAGTTTTTCAGAAATTTTGTTGAAATCAGCGATGGAGAACGGGGAGCGAATGAACAACAAATATATGCAACAAAACCAATTTTTAAGAATCAGTAGAGCCTGCACAAAGTTCATACTTCTGTTTTAACTTTTAATGAGACATAATGAGCAGGTAAAAAAATCCAGCTTTATGTAATATGATCTTAATTTTCATGCCTTGCAGAAATATCATAACTTGCCTGGCCAGTTTATATATTCTCTGAGCTGTTACCCCCAGTTATGATTTTCTTGCATATAGTAAATAACGCACCAAAAAAAGGGAGTATATGGAGAGAAAAAACGTCATTAAACCACAAGAAAACAGTAAACATCATTGTACGATGCCCGAAACATCGGATACCTCAAAGTAAGACCCAAACGGAACATCATGCGCTTGTTGTACCGTCTCAAACACCTAATAGAGCAGAATATGTGACATGAATTATGTGGAGGTTATTTGAAAACGGGGAAGTAAAGCAACTAGAGAGATCAAAAAAAAGAAACTGCGAAACCTATCTGATAGGAAATGACAAAAGCTAACTCACCAGCATTTTTTTTTCTGGCAACAGAACCAAATGCTGATACTCTGTCATTGCTGTGTCTGGAGGGCACATAGGACTGTTACACAAGGATCTGAATGTAATTTCTCTTACTTGACCATCATATTCATCAGCAGCATGCCACTGACCCATCTAGGAAAAGCATAAAACAACAAATAGAACTATACATCACTATACAGGCAGTTTGTAAACAGAAATTGCAGTTATCATTAGTGGTAAAAAATTATAATAGAACGCAAGGATAACTAATCACTGATTGACAGTCACCTGTATACAGCATGGCATGTATAAGAGCTCAATTTTGACTCAAGATTAAATTGTTCTTCAATGCACAATGACACAGAAAATTGTGACTAAACAAACAGAAATTCAAAAGAAAAAGATATTCAAGTGTAACAACCACAAAATTTTGGTACTTACGACAAGATTAGTATCCTTTCGGGCAGAACGATACTCATTTGTAAAAGTTGATCCATCATTCAACAGTAAGTCAAAGAATTGTTCAGCTGTGCATGGAAAAACATCCTGAGAGCAAAATTTATTATGTGTTATCAACAAAAGTAAGAAATAATATCCTCAAAATTGAGTGCTAGAATTGCTACTTACATTGTATATAACAATTAGAACTTCTTCTTTGATGAAGGGCTGAAACTTTGCAGAACTAAGAGCACTTTCCTCGGGAACCTTTGCCTCCCTTTTAATGCCTCTAACAGAGCTGCTATGTGCACGTAGTGCCGACTGTTCCTTTTCCTATACAACATTAAGAACAGATCAATTGAAGAAGATTGTTTAGCTATTCGAACAGTTCAAAGCCAAAAATTAGCAAAACAAAACAAAAAAACAAAAAAAAACCATGCTGCATGAACTCCTATATGAATTTCGGGTGAAGGTATGGGTGTAAGCATCGGGTTCATCTACTTTCCAAAGTTGAAGCACAGTGACAAGGCAAAACAGTCAGAATTTATGATGATTTTCATGTACGTCCAGGAAGCAAATGGTGTTTTTTGTAACTTAGAATATCAAAAAAAAGACACTACTCAGACTAATGCAGTTACGTGACAACAAAATACAATAACGCTAATAAATAAAATTAGGTGGCACTCAGTGCACAAAGCTCCTATCTATAGCACGTGGTCTAGGGAAGGCAAGAGGTAGATAGCTTTAGCCCTATTTTGGAAGGGTTGATTCCCCGACTCAAACCAACGACATGTCGCTTGGGCTATGCCTATGAGCACTTGTCATCACTCCGGATCCAACCTCTAGAGTGTTTTTTTTCGGAAGGTCCAGCCTCTAGAGTGTTAAATACAATTATCTAACAAAATTGAATTGGTGTGTAGCTTCTTATTCTCTAAACACACATATGATGGGAAGTATCGAACGCAAATCTCACAACCTTAAAGGTACAGGTGCTAGTATTTGACACAGGTACTGGATCTCTGTTGAAGACGCCATGCAGCATAGATAAAAGTGAAAGAAAAGGTCCTTCCAAGAAACCTTAGCACAGTGCTGACAATAAACAAACACTAAAAACCAAAATGTGTCATCCTGGACAACCAATAGTGTTTCATACATTTCCGAAGATAGATATACTTACACACCAACTTCTAGGTTATTACCAGCTACAAAATTTTTATCAAACGACAAAAATGATTACACATAGAAGAACTGAAGCCTTATTTTGTATCCATTTGAACTGCAACCTTTATCTTTCATAATTCCTCCACTACTGACAAGATTTTTGGTCTTGCACAGACCATACCTCATACTTGAGACCACCATTACCTGCACGACATCTTTAATTTTTAAGTTTAGGGTTAATTGTCAGAAATGAAGGTCAATGGTAGAATTGAGAGGATGACTCAGAATTGTTAACCTACTTCTCGCTCTGAACATACAGATTCATAATTGGTAACCCTACTTCTCACCCTCAGCATATACATGTCTCACTATAAAACAACCAAGACTAGCTTACCCAAGAGTGGTATGGTTACTAAAACAATATATAAGATATACCACTTAACAATTCCTATCAAGCTCAAGTATATATGTCATGTAACACAACTTGGAACAAATGACTGCCAGACGACTCTGGTTCATCACTTCAGTGAACACATCTACGCAAATTTTCACAACTGTTATAAAAATTCTCCCCTTTAATATCTTCTCCTGAATGACGTGGCAATCAAATTTTTTATTAGTGTGTGAAACATTGGATTGGCAGCTGTGGAACTCTGCCTGATTATCACAAAACAACTAAATTGGTATCTAAACTTCAAAGTCAATGTCCTGGATAAAATGCGGTAACCATGTTTACTCACTCGTGGTGTGTAATATTATTCTATACTCAGCTTCTGCACTAATCATGCGACTACATTTTGCTTACTCTCCCATGAAACAAAGTTCCCCCAAGAAGGCACAACAACCAGTAGTTGACCTTCAATCTAAGGAAAACCCGGCCTAATCAGCATTTGCAAAATCTTTCACTCTAAGATGTCCGTAAGATTGCTACAAAAATCAAAGTCTTAGGGTTCATTTAAGATATCAGGAGATACGAATAACAACATTCCAAGGGTACTCTGGGTGCACCTATATATTGAACCACAACACTTACCACATATGTAAAATCTGGAAGAGTAATAGTGAGATAATTTATTTTTTCAGCCAACCTACAACCCCTACACGGATTTTGAAATAGTGTACATTCATCCACCAAAATCTCTATTCGGATCCATGGGACCACAACTGGCTTGTCACCTAATAAACATGCTTCTTGCCGCATATCCAATTACATGCTTCCTTTGAGACAAACTGATACCCTATTTAAAGCTATCAAATTCGACGACCAACAAGTACCAAATTTTGCCCAAGTCTTTTGCAAAAATCGATGCTGGGTTAATATTTTTAACTTCACAACACCACAAGAATCAGTATCATTAACCACAATATCATCCACATAAACAATCAAAATACTCTAATCTGCCTCAGTATGTCAATGGAATGTGGAGTGCTTAGTCTGACACCTAGAGAGAGCAAACTTTAAAATTTCCTCTTAAAATTTACTAAGTCACTCTCTTAGTGACCGCTTCAGACCATACGGGGTCTTCTTCAAGTGAAACGCACTCCCATGGTACTCCCCTGGAGGGAGAAAAACCCAAAGTGATTGTTCCATATATACTTTTTCAATCAAGTCACCATGCAAAAAGGCATTTTTGACATCCAACTGAAACAAATGCCAATCAAGATTAGCATCTAAGGAAGAAATGGACACATGAACCAAGCAAATACTAGCAATGGGAGAAAACGTCTCCCCATAATCAATGGCAAAAATATAAGTAAAAACCTTAGCAACAAGTCAGATTTTTAGATGTTCAACACAACAATCAAGATTGAATTTCACAATATAAACCCATCAACAACCAACAGGCTTTTTATCATAGGATATGGGAATGAGATCCCATGTTCCGTTATGATGTAAGATATTCATCTTAACCTCCATAGCTTTTTTTCAACCAAAATTCGATAACGATCCTATAATTTCTTAGCAATAGAGAGAGTAGATAGCTAATATATAAAGCACGAGAAATTAGGGTACATCCACAGTTCAAGGTCATGGTATTGGCAATCGATTTGAAAGACACTAATACACATCGGTTGCAGTGTCACAACACAGTCAATCGATTTGCACTAAATGCTATATTGAAGCCTGAAGGTCAAAAAAATTCTAAAAAAGATCATGAAAAATTATACAAAATAAAACCAACGTCCACGCATCATATTTCTAGAGCATATCATCTAACACATTAAACATAATAAAAATGACAAGTAAGAGCGTTGCATCAAAATTTTCATATTTATTGTAAATTGCTATTTGAGCAAGAATCAACACCTTTTAATAAGTTTTCAGCAATAAGATAACAAGAAAACACATTAGAATCAAAGACGGAACGAGAATATACAAATTTCAAAGGCAAAGAGACCCAAGAAAGAAAGAAATTCAAATTTCTGGAATAAGAATAATAAAAAACTACTACAAAGATTCAAAAAGAGGAATTTATACCAAGTTACAATAGTCCTTGATCACTTGAATAACTTTTTAATAGCCCTTGATCACTTAAAAGATTAGGACCATAAATACCATCTATAAGACTCACATAAAACTTAGGCTAACCTATTAGTGGGCCCGCTTGGTCTTGACAAGCCTTTTGGATGTCCCCGAATAAACCCCTACCAGTTGGAAGACCCTCAACTCCGGTGAGAAAGTCTCAAAAACTTCAATTTAAACATTTGGATCAATACTTTTCAATTCCTCTCGGCAATCCATATACTTTCGCTAACAGGTTTTCCCAACCACTTTCACCAACAATCACCTACACTAATTGCCTCTCCTAGATTTCACTTCTTTGACATCTTCAACAACATTCAGTTGTGCCTTTGGAAGCTGTTTTACGTGACCCTCTGTTGAAACTAATTCTCGATCAAATCCCTCAAATACATGTAAGTCAAAACACATTGAAGAAATGGCTAATTTGCAAATTTGGTGGCAATTCCAACATGTAGGCACTGGAGCTAATTTTCTTCAACAGCTTGCATGGCCCAAACTTTCTTGACTTAATCTTGTGGTAAGTGACCTTAGAAAATCTATCTTGCCTCAAATGCACTAACACCATGTAACCTTCAAAAACCTTAGCTTGCCTATGTTGATTTTGCAATAAGATTCTTTACTATCTATAATTGCTGCCTTGCCTTCACTTCGTCTTGAACTCTTCTAATATGATCTAGAAAAGGCTCTCCATCCGCACTCACTCTAGCCTCTTGTGGTAATGGTACTAGGTCAAGAACATGGTAAGGTTTGAGCCCATAAGCTACTTCCAAGGTGTTTTCTTCGTAACTTTATTCACAAAATTCTTGTAGGCAAATTCAGCTTGTGGTCTAATAGAATCCCACATCTTCACATGATTCCCAACAAGACATCTGAACAAGTTACCCAAGCTTTAGTTGACAGCCTGTGCTTGTCCATTCGCTTGAGGATGACAAGTGCAAGTATACTTAATCAGTCCCAAGTTTTCTCCATGGTGTCCTCCACAAGTGCCCCATAAACTTGACATCCTATCAGAGACAATTAATGTTGGAATTCCATGTACTCTCACTTCTTCTGTGAAGAATAGCATAGACAATTCTTAAACAAGGAAAAAAATGGGTCATTTTAGAAAAATGGTTCACCATAACAAAAATAGAATCGTATCCCATTGTTGTCTTTGGAAGTCCCAAAACACAATCCATGCTAATATGAACCCAAGGAGCTTCTTGTGTGGGTAATGGAGTGTGCAAACTAGTGTTTTGCGAGCTCCCCATGCCAATGACAAAATGTCAAATATCTCACCACCCATACTGCATCATTCTCCCCAAGTTGAGAAGAATTCACCCTTAAATTTGGTTCAATATGTGAGTTTTTTCTTTAACTTAGGCTTTCGGCCACTCTAAAATCCATATTGATCACATATTTTATTAAGAATCGCCATGCAATGTGAAGATGTCAAAATTGCATCTTTAAGTTCGATAAAGCCACAGGTCAGTATCTTATGTTTTGGCACGATGGTGGCTTTACAACCAAGCCCTTGCATAGCAACAACAATGTACCCATCAAAAGGAATTGCAACGTCAATGATATCAAAGCAATTGAATCATTACTCCGCTGACTCTACATATCTAGATAGAGTAAAAGGTTCATGGACATATATCATAACACCCAAGTATATATCAAACCAATGAAAATGAGTCAGCCCAGTAACCACAACCTGCTGCATCCACTTCTTGCTATCATCTACCAAAAAATATGGCTAGTGTGGGGCTTGAATTAAAGGGATGACATCAGCTGCTCATCAAATTTTATACCATCTTCACTTTGAGTTGGCGTCCCTCTATTAATAGTGGTCAAAGACACTTGCACCTCATCCGCCTTCTCCTTTAACGATATACCATCAGGTAAAAAATCAATTAAATCTTCATACACTCCATCTCTCAAACACTCATCATATATCAGAATATCATAATTATTTCGGCAGTGATTATAGAAGCATCATCCAAAAAATTGTTAAATATTGGTGGTAAATCCCAATCAACTTGTAGTTGCATAAAATAGGAATCTTTATAAAAAAAAAAAAATTATTCAGATTCCTAACAAGAACATAAATCTTGTTGGGGATCTTCTCCGAGATCACAGCCGTAGTTGATGTTACAGATCAGCCTCACTCTTCTAGCCTGCAACTTTGCTCAACATCTTCTGCAGATTGTCAGCCTGTTCAATTGACTTCAGAGGATTTTAATCACCTGGCACAACATGTTTCTTCTCGGTGACGATTGCAGTCTAGACTACTCCAAAAGATTAGCAGTCTAGCCCTTGCTTCCCTTCCGGTCGTCTAGAAAATTCTAGATTTCTCTCTCAAGTGTCGATCCTCTCAACTTTCTTATTCTGTTGAAGGATTCTGATCTTATCTTATGAAGAGTTTTCCCAAAAAGATCGAGCTTACCTCATGTCAATTCAATCTTCTCATGAGCCTGAAAAGCCATCCAGT